TTATAAAATATCGATATCAAATTTACTGTAGAGTGTCGTTTTTTTTTTTTATTTTTGAAGCCAAATATTAATCATTATAAAAAAAAATGAACCGGAAGATATTATATCAATGAATCAAATTTCAAAAAAATATATGAAAAATAACAGAATGCATTTGAAATTGATAAAATGTATGTGGAAATTACCGGTTTTAATTCATTTAACATAATAAAGTAAACACAGATTTTGTTACCAGTAAAAATAATTACCAACAAATTATTAATGCATGAAATGAAATTCAGTAAAGCTGTACCGTTCCCATCCTCATTAATATATCATTTAAAGTGAACAGAATGTCAGAACAAACATTCCTCTTTCTATGCAAAGAATCTCAGAATTTGAAAAATAATGGAAAAACTTTTTTTTTTTTATTTGAAAATGATTAAAAATTATGAAATGCTTAAAAATTACTTTACAAGCACAATCGATAAGCTTTCGTTTTAGAAAGCAAAATTTTAAAATGTTGTATTTTTTGGAATAATTTTTTATATGGAAATAACATTTGAGTAAGAATTTTATTCTTTTACTCCCTTTTTTTGCAATAGTGAAATTTTCCAAGGCTATGTAATTTGAATTAACTTTATTTCAGATAATTCAAATTATACGATTAGAATGGAATTTTTTCTAACAGATTGATGGTTTGAATAATGGATTAAAATCAAGGATTTCGATTCAAAAATTAAGTCCAACAAATTTTTGTATTTATATTTATGCAGTTTGATTTTTGGAAATTTATGGAATTACCCCCAAATTGTGATTTACGAATTGCTGTCTTAAAAATAAACAAGTTTTATTAATAATGGCTGGCAAAAAAAAAAACCATTTTTAATACTTTGACATCAGTTGGATTCTCTTTCTTCTTCTTCTAAAACTAAAATAGCTCTAATTTCAGCTGAAACAATTTTAAATTACATGAAAAATAAAAATGCATCAGTACGAGTGGTGGAAAACAAATAAAACTAAAAAAATTTGATTGGATGTTACAATTAATGCTATTATTTCCCTTTTCTTCTCTATTCCGTCATAAATTTAATAAAAAAAACTCAATTCATTTCTGTTGTCATTCCAACATAATAACAAAACTTTTCAACTAAAATTTCCAAATTTTTAATTCTTGAAAATCATCGTCAAAAATTCGCAAAAATAATGTCAGGAAGAAAAATAGCAATGAATAAAAAATTTTTGTTGTAAAAATGGTGCAAAAAGTAATCATAATTGAATTTCGTTTCTTCAGTTAGAACTTTATGATATAATAAAGTGAGGCAGAATAAGAAATAGCATAATTTAAAAATAATCATTGAAAAAGATTTCCCATTTTTTAAATGAAAAAAAGAAATTGTGCTGAAGGACAAATGAAAAGAAATAAACAAAATAATGTTTACCTGAATATACTTTAAATTTAATGACGATTATATGCATACATAAATTTAAATTAAAATAATACTTACCAATAAACTGCACAGGTTGTCCAGGTGTACCACCACCAAGTGGTTCGATTTTAACATTTTCAGCGGAATAGCCGGAAACAGTCAATGGATATGGATCAATTTTTTTGCCACAAATTGTCATTTCTAGGTAATGGTCACCAACCTGAAACGAAAGAAAATATATATTCTGAAATATAGGCTAAAAATATCAGGACTAACTAATAGAAATCTGAAAGAAAGATTGGGATGAAATTCATTACTCTGATTCTTAATTAATTAAAATATGCTTTGATACATATTTGGAATATTTGCCATCTTTTTTTATCTCTTCATATAGATATAACATGAATGAACAATAAAGATAAGAGAATGAAGAAAAAAAGCAAGATATCAATTATCATTAACCTTATCATTAACTAACAAAAATTCATGATTGACTATGATACTACTAACCTTATTAATAACATATTCACAGATCAGTTTTTGATCACCTCGTCGATAAATACTTATGGGTAAATCGATAGCATCGGGACCTAAAAAAAAAAGAAATAACACTATTTTGTCTAAAAATTTATGTTTTCTACTGTAAAAAAAGAAAAAAATAGTATTTTTATAGTTGAAAAAAAGTGGAATTAATATGATGAAAAAGGATATTGAATTCTATTTTAAAGAAAATATCAAAAAATTCCAAAAACTTACCGTATATTCGTGCTTGCACATCGGCTTCTGTAATACCATCACCCGTTATTTCAAATGTAGTTGGTTTACCAACGGAAGCACGCTGCAATCCTATTCCGGATAATTCTGTATACCAGGATTCGGTTCGTTCAACTCTAAAATTACAATATGGAATTATTTTTCATAAGGCAAACAATATACTTTACATATAGTATTTAATTGCTATTTAATTTTATACTCAATTTTTTTTAGATCTTTTATAATAATCTTTCTAGAGTTATCAGTATGTCTTGCATGATAAGAGTATAATTTGTTTAAATTAAAAATTCATTACGAATAATTAGTAGAGATTTTGGAAGGTAAATAATGAATGCTACTCTCTCTCTCCTTCTCTCTCTCCCTCCCTCTCTCTCTCTCTCTTTCTCTTTCTCGTTATTCATTGATAACACAATTTCTATTGGAATAAATGCATATTTTGGATTTCTAAAAAAAATTCTTCTAGAAGATGCAAAGTTAACGTAGCAACGTTCATATCAATATTATCCTAGCATAGAAATAAATTATTTAAGCATTTTTTTTTTCAAAGCTAACCAACAGAAATGAAAATAAATAATCATACCGTCTACTTTCGATACTTCGTATCATTCGTTCTTCCACCTCGTAATCTGGATTTGTTTGATGCTGAGAACCTCTGACCTGAATTTTCCACGGTGACATCCTGACATTTTCACCATTAAATCGCATTTCAACAATGTGTGTTATTGCCTATAAAAAAAAAAAAAAATTGTTTAATTGAAAATGTGATGGGCCAATATCGACCTCATCAATTTCACATGAAAAGAAATGAAGAGAGTAGTAAGAAGGGTTCCTCATCTGTCAATTTATTACAAATATTTAAAAATTTGTAATAAATCTTACTTCAATCAATTATTGATTTTTTGAGATAAAACAAATATGCATAATATCAATTAATAATTATCATAATTGCAAACTTGATAACATTTCTATCTTTATTTCATAGCATTACTTATTAGATCATAACGATAATTTCATGCAAGATTATTAATTGGAATTTATCCGAACCTGAGTGGGAGTAAATGAAGCTAAGTAATGTCGTCCACCGAGCTCACGTACACGACATGCCACACGACCACCATTTATCATAATTTCTAAATTGCCAGATCCTGCTGCACTTGCATCGACTGTAAAAAACAAAAGTATCTTTAACTTTGTGAATAATATCAAGTAGTAAATTTTAATTTTTATAAAACTAATAGTCAAATGTTTCATCGTTGAATACTGAAATTTCAAAGCTTGACCAATAGCTTTTAATTTCTATATCTTTAATTACACAAATTTTGCAAATTCGATCATCTAAAATTATGAAATCAGTTTAAAAGTTATATGAGTTAACAGAGAAGATCGATTTCGACGATGTCATCTTTTGCAGATCGCATGAAAAAAAAGAGGAAAAAAACGATGTGTGGTGATAATATACCACAATATCTTAACTATTGATAGTAATTAGAAAATTCAATTATCAAAAAGCTACAAATCAACTAATTAAAAGTTAAGTTTTAACTTCTCTAAAATATATCTTTGTTCTAACTTTCTAATTATTTTCAGAGTAAAATAGGCATAGCTAAAAATTACTTTAACTTGAATTTATTATAAAATAAGCATACTTTCAAAAGTGTAATCTCGGAAAATTTCATCGGCATTAATAAATTCCGGCATATTCCGGACGGTTACCAAATCCGGATCACCGACATTACACACAAATGGGCTTTCATAAACGCTCTGATTGAAAAGTCTTACATCAATAGAATGCTCACCTATAATTATACTTTTCATATTACTTTTCATATTTATTTATTTGCACTGGAAAGATTATTGCTTATTTAAACAAATTTATTTCAATCATATTTCATTCGTATCACCGTTACTGTTTGTGAACAAGTAGAAAATAAATGTCACTTTTAAGAGAATTTTTTCACTTCAAATATTTCTTCCTTTTTTTTTTTTTCATTAAATGGTATGATAACGACATGACGAGTTTCTTTTAAACGAAAAAAAATACTTTTAATTTTTAGTAATAGCAAAAGAAAAAATCAAATTTATACCAGCTTCAACAGGTTTCCATTCTACTTTATAAGTTACGTCATCTGTTTGGTAAACTCGTGCTCGTTTTGATTTTCCAGAAGGAGCTTAAAAACATAAAACTTGATAATTTTCTTTTATTCCTTCTCTTTTGATCTTAATTTTATTGCAAACAATTGACAATCTGTAGAATTTAATTATGATTAGATTGAAAATTTGCACAAATATCTGCACTAAACATTAAGTATATAAGATTTAAAAAGTATGTTACTTCTGATGATTTGAACTAATACTAATATATTTTTTAAAAATTGTAAATTTAATTTTTAATTTCAAAAGTTAAAAAATGCCTGTTTCAATGATAAAAATATGAATAGCATAATTTAGACATCTTTGATGAAAAAATTGGAATATTAAAAAATAATACAACATTTCCAACAAATTGTTTCAACTAAATTAATCACCATTTGATAAATGAAAATAAAAGATCACTTGTTGCACTCGCTCAAAAAATGAGACATTCTGGAAACAATATAAACTTTCTCCCCTCCTCCAAAAAAAGAATCTACAAAATCAAAATCTGATTTGTTCAGACTTAATTTACATATAAAAACGTCATATTGATGATGTGAAATATTTCAGCAAATAAGCAGAAAGTTTAAAAACTAATTATGTCATGGAAGAAATTTAAACCTTGACTAATTTATAATCTTTAATGATAAGCAAAAAAAGACAAAAGATTAATCCACTATGAAGTTAGGTCCCTATTAAATATAAAAGCAGTAATCGATAAAATAATGAAATATTAAAATGAAAAATGATTAGGGAAAGAAGAAACATTACCAGTAATGGTAACAGTGATATCTTTGCATTCAGCACCAACTGCATGAATAAAAAATGTATTAAGTCGATCAACGGAAGCCATTCGTAAATTTTCACCATAAACAGAAACCGAACTTGCATCCGCTATATCCAGGATAAACGGGGAACCTGTAATTAAATTGCTACTTCAGATATTAAATAACAGAATGTAATATTTTGTGATGAATAAAAAAAATTCTTTCTTAAGCTTAATTTATTTGTTGAAATTATTAAACATTTCGAATAATAAAATGAAGAAAAATGAAAGCTATCAAAAATTTGGAAAATCATAAAATTCTATAATTAATTAGCATTTTTAGACATTTGAATAATTTGAATTGTTATAACAGACAAGTAATTAACTGATTGTTTAATATGGAAAGTTTTTTGAAAATGGAAAAGCACGATCTACAGAAAAGGTAAGTAGATGAGTAAGCAATGATATGGATTAGGTAAGTGTAAAACTTACCCTTAACTTCCATATTATTAAAGAGGACATGAATTTTGTATTGTCCAGCACCATCAGGAGTGAAGCTAATTCGATAAACACCTGAATTACCTTGCTCGAGCACCTCACATGGCATACTTCGACCATGCCGTAATACCGAAACCTATCAAAACATATCCTTTTTTTCTGTTGTAAAAAAATTCAATTTAATTGTAAACACAGTTTTCAACAATTTACATTGCAGTTAAGATCAAAACAAACTTTACATGTTTTCTTTTTCCATTGGAATTTTAAACAAGAAAATAATCGAATAGTTCTAGCTAAAATGGGATAAATTTTTGTTAATTTAAAACTATTTCTAACAAGGCAAATAAATAAATGAATTGCATAACAAAATATAATTTATTCAATGAACGAAAAGAATTATCCTTTCAAGTTTACTGATTTACGGAATTGGATATGAATCATTAAAACCGTTTTAACCAGTTAGCATGATGTGTTTTACATGATTCCAACAAGAAACCGTTTTACATAAACTTTTTTTTATAATGTCGATTGCAATCATTCATCTGATTGATCAATTACAAAAATGCATTCCCTTTTTGGTTTAATTTTAGCATCTTTTTAATTCGATTTTTGATTTCACTTCGCTTGGAATGATGCAAAAAAAAAAATATTATTTTAAAGCTGAAATTTAAAAGTCAAAAATATTCTAGCAAAGTGTTGATTTTGTTTTTTTTCGCTAAATTCAAGTAGAGAAAAAAAGTCGTATGGGGAAAGAACAAGTTTTAAGAAAATGTACTTTATTTAAAGGAAATTTATGACCATATCAAACATTTCTAGGTATTAAATTACACATATTTTTCAGTTGATTTGAGAAAAAAAAAAAGAAATGTTCAATAGCGTTACCCAAAATCGTTGCTAATTTACGAACCGAGAGAGCTCCCAGAGTGAGAGCGGGGAAAATGGAAATATCGGGAAGCGGG